CAAGAAGTCATTGCCAAATCTAATGTTATAAAGATTTCCCCACATTTCCTTTGGAGAATTTTATAGTTTTAGCTGGTACATTTAAAAACTTTGATCCATGGAGTTATTTTGTCTATTGTATAAGTAAGCATCCACCTCAGTCTTTTGCATATTGATACCCAATTATCTCAATACCATTTGTTGAGAAGACTGCCCTTTCTTCCACTGAATGGTCATGGCATTCTTACTGAAAATCATTAGATCATAAATGCAAAGGTTTATTTCAGGGCTCCCTAACTTTTCCCACTGGAAAATTTCAGTTTTCTTATTTTGTTATTTTGTTTCCCAAGTAATATATCAATTTTCAAGAAGATACAAAAGGGCATTGGAGTAAAATTCCATATTTTTATCTTAGCTTCTATTAAATACAAGTAAGAATTCAAAAATTTTCTTTAACTGCCCATAATTGTAAAGAAAATAATGTTGATGGAGGACATTTTAGAATTCTTAATCAGACAAATGCAAAGAAACAGAGAACACTATCCTCTAATGGTGATGCAGATATTAATCATGTTAATTAAATCTCATAGTACAACTCTTCAGATAATGATATCAAAATTTTCCTTCAACTCAATAATTAATGCTTAAAAAGAATATTTCTAATGGCAAGCAAGAAATATGGTATTCTCATCCAGACAGTTATCTTCAGCAACCAATATTTTATCACAGATATTTGTAACATTCCTTATTGTAAACAAGGATCTAGGATAATATTCTTTCATCTTTTACTGTATATGGACATGAACATTTATTTGATATGGTTCGCCAGTGGACAAAAGTGTATGCAAAGTTGAATGGAAGGAGTTAGATGATGTAGGAGTGATCAACATTGTGATTAATCATTTTAATTGGTGTTTATATCATAAAATAAAAATATATTCAATTATAGTGCAACATCATTTACAATCGATAAAAAGAAAATGAAATAACAAATATGAAATAATAAAATATGCAGAGTATCTGATGAAAATTACAAAATCTGATGAAGGAAATCAAAGAAGGCCTAAATAAATGGAGAAACATACTGTGTATTATTGGAAGATTTAGTAATAAAAAGCAAAGATGTAAAATCTTCCTAAATTGATCCTTAGGTTTAACATAATTTATAACAGCATTATTTTTCAATAAACATAGACAAGTTTATTCTAAAATGTATATGGAAAGGAGACTCTAGGGTAGCCAAAACAATTTTAAAAAATAATATAGTAGGAGGAATCACTTTTCCCAATGTTAAAAATTACTGTACAACAACAATAATAAAAACATCATAGCAGTGGTGGAGAAAATGACACATAAAGCAATGGAAAACAGTATAGATAACTGAGAAATACACCAACGCAAAAATGTCCAATTAATTTTGTTTATAATGTGAAAAAACAATTCAATGAATGAAGGTAGTTTTTTTCAAAGAATTATGGTGGAGCATTTGGATACGCATTAATCAAAATGTTAATCTATCACCTTTTACAAAAAGTAACTCAAAATAAATCCATAGACTTAAAAGTTAAGACACAAAACTAACACCTTTTAGAAACAGAGAGGGAGGGATGCAAACCATAAGAGACCCTTAAATACAGAGAATAAACTGAGGGTTGATGGGTGGTGGGGGAGAGGGGAAAGTGGGTGATGGACATCAAGGAGGGCACTTGTTGGGATGAACACTCGGTGGTGTATGTAAGCCAATTCGACAATAAATTATGTTAATTAATAAATAAATAAAATAGAAATATGGCAGAAAGTTTGGGATTTAAGGTTAACAAAGAGTTCATACACTTGACATCAAAAGCATGATTGAAAAATGAAAAAAAGTACAACTTATCAAAATGAATATATTTGTTAAAAAATTGGGTCTGCAAAAAATAATTATAGAATTGAAGAAAATATGTTAATATTACATATCCAACAAAATACATGTACCTAGAAAATTTTTTAAAAATCTGAAAACTCAACACTTAAAACTCACAATTTAATTAGAAAATGGGCAAAAAACATGAATAGATTTTTCACTGAAGAGGATATACAGATGCCAAATAAGCATCTTAAATATATTCAACATCATTACCTATTAAGGAAGTGCAAAATGAATCCATAATGATATTAATACATAGCTAACAGACTGGCTAAAAAAAGTGATATCATCAAATGTTGGCAAGGATGCCAATAAACTGGTCATTCATATGTTATTGGTGTGAATGTCAAATGTTACAGCCACTCTGAAAATAGTTTGGTAGTTTGCATCTAAAACTATAAATTACTTATCATGGACCCAGTAATTTAATTCTTGGGATATTTCCTAGGGAATTAAAAATTTACTTTCATGCATAATTTTCTACACAAATTATCATTTCATATCTATTCATAATAGCTAAAAATTGTCAAACACCCAAATGTACTTCAGTGAGTAAATAATTTGACATATTTTGATACATCCATACAAAGGAATACTAGTCATCAATAAAAAGAAATAAAGTATTTATAAATGCAACAACTTGGATGCAATCATGAAAATTATGCAAAAGAAAGAAGCCAAACTCCAAGAGATACAAATTCTGTGATCCCATTTATGTAACATTCATGAAATAATATAACTAGAGAGAGTGGTTTAGTGGTTGCCATGAGTTAAAATTGGCAGAAAGAAGGGATCAGTGTAGCTATATAAAAGGGTATTATTAGGGCCCATATAGTTATAATAGAGTTCTGTATCTTGATTGTGGTGGTGGTTACACAAATTTGAACACGTGGTAAAACTGCATAGAACTAAATACACACACCTGTGCACTCACACACACATATATACATCCGCAAATGAGTGCATGTATACTGGTGAAATCTGGATAAGGTCTGTATGTTTTATTAATGTCCATTTCATGGTTTTGATATTGTACTATAGTATTGAATCATAGTAACACTGATGGAGGCTGAGTAAAGAGTACAAAGGACTTCTCTCTGCATTTCTTTTTGTGAATCTATAATTACTTCAACATAAAAAGTTAAATGGAAATCACAATGGAACATCACACATCTAAAAGTGGCAACACCAAACAAAACCAAAAAACTGACAATATCAAAGGCTTGTGAAGTGTGGATCATCTATGCAGAGAAACTGGAAATCTCATAGAGAGAATAGAGAGAGAGAAAAAAAGTGGTACAGCCACTTTGGAAGATAGTTTGGCTGTTTCTTATAAAATTAAAAATACACTTACTGAAATAATGCACTTAGTAAATGACTCAACAGTCTCACTCTTAGATATGTATCCCAAAGTGAGAACTTATATATATATATA